GAAGTTGGGTGCTGGGGAGTGGGACAAGGACATACGGAAGGAGTTGGCGGTTTTAAATGTCAGATGGTGGGAGGCATTCCTTCTCTCCGGCACTTGCCATCGGAGCCCGGGCATCTGCTGACCTTACCCCTGGACAGGGACGGTCTTCCCAGCCCTGGCTACTGCACTATCCTCCTGTCCAGCTTCCTGGTCTCCAGCCCCTTCTGTGGCACTTTTCTCCAGATGTTCTCTCACGTCTCCTTACGTGGCCACCCTGGCCCGCCTCTCCGATCCTCCTTCCCCAGCTTATCCCAATTCTCCAGCCCCCCAACTCCCTCAGACCCCCCAACTCAGTGGCTTCTCCAATCCGTCTCCTCGATCCCTCTTCCCTCAGACCAAGCCCCGTCCTAACCGCCACGCCCACCCCCAGCTCCGGCCCGCGCCTCCCAGTCCCCTCTCCCAGCGCGCCCGCCTCCCGAGCCGGCACGCTTCGGACCCCGGGCACTAACCCGATTCGGAAGAGCAGCCGCTGGCTGTGCGCCATGAGCAGGCCGCGGAGGCCCCGCCGCACTCGGCAGCCGCGGGGGCTCACAAGTAGGACGAGGACAAGGACGAGGAAGAGCCAGCAGCCGGCGACCCACTGCCACGGCGCGGGCCAGCCCTGCCAAGCCATGCTGGGGGCAGGCGCGCGCCAGCCGGGCGGAGCTGGGCGTTGCTAGCCAACGGCCCGGCCCCGGCCCCCCGCGGGTAACCTGCCGGCAGGCTGGGGGCGTGGGGGCGTTGTGGCCCCGCCCCGCCCATTGACCTCTGCTTTGGACCCGCCCCCTCACCACCTCCAGCGGGGCGAGTACCCCGAAGGCCACCGGCTTAGGGGGCGGCCTGGCTCCGCCCCCGGCTGGCGGCCAGGAGGCGGGGCCACAGCGGGCCGCGAGCCTGCGCTGATCGGGGTCCCCAGTCGCCTGAACCCTGGGAGGGGGTCGGAGCTCGTAGTTCGCCCCGCCCGCCTCCCCATCCAGGGCACTGCTACAGTTTCTCAGCTGGCAGAAACCTGAGAGATCATCTGGGGCAGCTGCCATTCATGGTTTTATTCATTCGCCGAATTACTTTTCTAGCTTCTCCTATGTACTTGGCACTCTGCCAGGCTCTGAGGAGGATGCAAGGGTCAAAGGCACAGCGTCTGCATTCCTGGAGCCCACAGTCCGGAATCCAGTGAGGAGACGAACCAAATAAGCAAGCAAACAAAATTATATCTGTTTATGCACACACATACATATGCGCGTGATAAATTGTGAAAGGAAGTCAAGGAGGGAGCAATGATATGGAGCACAGAGAGGGCCAGCTTAGATGGGGAGGGCCTCCCCAGCAGATGACATTTAAGTCCTGCCCTGAAGAATAGGAAGAGGCCACACAAGCTCTGGGGGAGCAACATGACCTAGAATGTGTAGCCATGGGTGGCATAGGGGGGCCTAGGGCTGGGGCATTCCCACTCCCAAACCCAGGGCGATTTCCACATCACCGTTCCCAGCTCCCTCACTGCGGCCCTCCTGATGGATTCTAGAAGTTGTTAAGGTCCCTGGAATGCAAGTAGGTGTGAAGGCATGCGTGGTGGTAGTGAAATCTACAAATTTAGGCACAGGAGCCAGGGCTGGGCTCGTTTTGGCTCCAGCCCTAGCTCTGTCCCAGGACAGGAAGGGAAGGAAATGCTCTAAAGAGTCAAGCTCAGCCAGGCTTGGTGGCTCACGCCTGTAATCCCAGCACTTTGGGAGGCCAAGGGCGGAGGGGTGGGGGGGGCGGATCACCTGAGGTCGGGAGTTCAAGACCAGCTTGACCAACATGGAGAAACCCCGTCTTTACTAAAAATACAAAAAATTAGCCAGACATGGAGGCGCGCACCTGTAATCCCAGCTACTCAGGAGGCTGAGGCAGGAGAATCGCTTGAACCTGGGAGGCGGAGGTTGCAGTAAGCCAAGATAGTGCCACTGCATTCCAGCCTAGGTGACGGGGCGAGACCCATCTCAAAAACAAACAAACAAAACAAGTCAAGCTTACCTCTGATGCTGCTGGGAGGTGCTTGGAGGGAGGGAGATTGGTGAGGAATATGTTAAATTTTCTTCAAAGTGAATTGTAATTCCAACACCGGAATCTAGGTTTAATCCAGAAAACCCAGACAGACATGGAGTTTCTCCTATGTGGCTACATCTTGAGGGATAGAGCCTATGGCCTGCTCCCTCCCTGTCTCCTTGCCTGTAATTAGGCTGCTTCTCAGTGTCTGGCATATAAAGGGCTGGTGCCGCAGAGGAGGCAGAGGAGAGAGAAAACTGATAAGCCAATTTGCAGATGGCCCTTGTAAGATGCAGGAGTTTGCGTCTCCAAGTCTGTGTCTGTACATGCAAAGTGAAGGATCATGGGGCATCATCAAAAGTGATTGTGCACACACCTTTCTGCAGGTAAGGCTGTGCCGAGTAAGGCTGTGCCAGGCATTCTGTCGAGAAATTAAAATGCAGTCCTGTAATCTGAAACAGGAAATGCATGCTCAAGCATGAGCTTGCAGAGAACGTAGAGATGACCAAATTCTAAATCTCAAGCCACACAATTAACAAGATTATAGACAATAAATCCAAGATACGTTTGATGAAGTATATGGAGTCAAGGCGGGACTGGGATAAGGAGTGAGGGTGTGTGTTTTAGGGGACTCATGCAGGCCCAGGGAGCCATAACCCCACCGTTAGACTGTTCTGGAAGACTTCCAATGTCTGCTGCAAGTTGGCTATAGTTTCACCTCCTCTGCCATAAGAATCTTCTATCCCATCCAGGCTAATGCCTTATTATGACCCCTCTCCTGCACTTTATACCCTAGAATACCTAACTACTTATAGTTGCCTGGACCTACCATATTGTTTCACACCCCCATGCCTTTGCACATGCTGTGCCTTCTGTGTGGAATGTCATTTATCCCTTGTTCCCCAAAGACTCGGATTGGGTGTGGTCTCTCCAAGAAATCTCTTCTTGAACCCTCCTAGCTCCTTCATGGGCTTAAGCATGTCCCCTTTTGTGCCAACTCTGGGTCATATTCATACTTTTTTTAAAAAAATAGAGACAGGGTCTCACTTTGTCACTCAGGCTGGAGTGCAGTGGCACGATCATAGCTCACTGCAGCCTCAAACTCCTGGGCTCAGACAATCCTACCGCTTCAGTCTCCTGGGTAGTTGGAACACCAGGCATGAGCCACGGGCACTGGCCTGTATATTTTCAAATAGCTAAAAGAGCAGACTTTGAATGTTCCCAGCACAAAGAAATGATCAATATTTGGGGTGATGGATATGCTAATTACCTTGATTTGATCATTATGCATTATATACATGTATCAAACTATCACACTGTGCTCCATAAATATGTACAATTATTATGTGTCAATTAAAAATAGTAATAAAAGCAAAAAAGAGTAGGGCCAAGGATTTAATTTATTACTCTCCAGTGTCTGGCATGGTGCCAGGTACATATTAAATACTCACAAACGTTCTTTGAAAATGTCAAATTCCTAACCATATCCCACAAAGCCCCTGCTTGATAGGGCCCAGCCTGTCTCTTCAACCTCCTCAGATGCCTTTCCCTTGTCACCACAGACCAGTCACACTTCCTCAAATGTGCCACTGTCATTCCCACCTCAGGGCCTTTGCCCATGCTCCCTCCCCTTAGAACACTCCTTCCCCAGTTGTCTGAATTGGAGGCAGCTTCTTAGCTGTTGGGTGTCAGCACAAACGCCAGCCCCTCCATGTGGAAATAACTGTATCTTGAGTTGAGTGCTGGCTACATGGCCTATGCCAGTGGCTTTCAACAGGGGCGATTTTGCCTCCCAGAAGATATATGGCAATGTCTGGGAACATTTTTGATGGTCACAACTGAGTGGGGAGGAGTGTTACTGACATTTAGTGGGTAGAGGCCAGGGATGCTGCTAAACATCCTATAATATACAAGACAGGGCTGGGCGCGATAGCTCACGCCTGTAATCCCAGTACTTTGGGAGGCCGAGGTGGGCGGATCACAAGGTCAGGAGTTCGAGACCAGCCTGACCAACATAGTGAAACCCTGTGTCTACTAAAAATACAAAAATGAGCCAGGTGTGGTGGCAGGTGCCTGTAATCGCAGATACTCAGGAGGCTGAGGCAGGAGAACCGCTTGAACCTAGGAGGCAGAGGTTGCAGTGAGCCAAGATCATGTCACTGCACTCCAGCCTGGATGACAGAACGAGATTCCGACTCAAAAAAAAAAAAACAAGACAGTCCCCAGGACAAATGGCCCCAATATCTGCAGTACAGAGGTTGAGAAACTCTGACATACACAAATTGAAAAACTCACCAAGTTGTACATTAAAGATTTGCGCACGGCTGGGCACAGTGGCTCACGCCTGTAATCCCAACACTTTGGAAGGCTGAGGAGGGCAGATGACAAGGTCAGGAGTTTGAGACTAGCCTGACCAACATAGTGAAACCCCGTCTCTACTGAAAATACAAAAATTAGCCGGGTGTGGTGGCGCATGCGTGTTGTCTCAGCTACTCGGGAGGCTGAGGCAGAAGAGTCATTTGAACCCGGGAGGTGGAGGTTGCAGTGAACCAAGATCGCACCATTGCACTCCAGCCTGGGTGACAGAGCGAGACTCTGTCTCAAAAAAAAAAAAAAAAAAAATTGTGCACTTTACCATATGTAAGTTATACATCAAGTTAATCAAATGAAAGAAAAAATGTTACCCCCTCTATGAGGCCTTTGCTAACCACCTCCTCACTCTCTACTCTATTACCAATATTACTGTGCTTACATCCTTCACTTTCATAGCACTTTTCACAATGTGATGTTATTTTGTGGATCTGTTCTGTTACTCCCACTGGAATGTTAGCCCCATGAAGCCCCATGGAGGGACCTGTGTTGGCATCACTGTATTCCCAGTGGTGTGAATAATACCTGGCCCAGAGCAGGTGTTCAGTTAAGTATCTGCTGAATGAATGAGTGAATGATAGAAACAAGGCATGGATGAATGACAATTCATGTTTTGCCACCAAGCACTGTGACTGTCAGGAGACTGGAGCCCTCTTGTTCTGACTAGTGTGCTCAGGGCCCACAGGAGAGCTGTACAGAAGCCAAACCCCACTCAGAAGGGTGGATCATGTAAAGGAGTCAGAACAAGCCCGGTGGTGGCAGGCTCTTCATAATATTAGAGGAAGCTGCAGGAGAGCCACGGCTGAAGAACCCATGCACTCCAGGGCTTTGGCTGTGACCCCTCCCCTGAGCAGCTTGGGGGGCACTGCCAAGGCTAAAGTTTGCCTCTGCCACTCTCTTAGGAGAGACACCTTCAAAACCCGAGTCAGGTGCCTGGCAGTCATGCAGGTCTGGCCTGTGATGTGGGTTCCTGGGTTGGGGTGGGGGTTCTTGTGTCTCCTCCTTGTTCCACCTGTCATCCCGGGCTGCCTGTCCCTGGTGTCTGAATCTTGCCTTCCCTACTGGCCTGGGAAGTTCCCTTAGAATGGAGAGCCTGCCTCCATCTTTGCACCGTGGCTCAAGCTTGATGACTGGTGCTTGGTTGGCATTCAGGAAATCACTGGTGGTGATGATGATGATGATGACAACGATGACGGTGATGATGACGAAACAATCATGAAGATGCTGAGATGGTTGGAGCTGCTTAAATGTTAGAGAAAAGAGACATCTTGTTGGACCTGGGTGGAGAAATTAGTTCAGTTTAGAAAAGTGAACCCAAAGCAGAAGTGGTGACTGGGATAATCTGGCCTCTGCTTAGCCCAGTCCGTTCCCTCATCTGTTATCCCCAACCAAAGCCCAATTTCCCTTGTGGACCATTTTCTCATGGACTCCCCTCTGAGCCATTCTGCTGTACTCTGCGGAACTCTGGTTTGTTCGGAAACAAATCCTCCCCCAACGTCCTCTGCCTTCTCACAGAGCTCCTAGCCTGTCTGGACTGAATATGATCCCTGTCTTCTATTCCCTCCCTTCTCTCTAACTGCCCTGCCTTCTGCAGTGGAAACCTTTAGTCTCACATTGTCACCAGGTTGGAAAGGGATGCACTAGTAATAGTCCAGGCCAAGGCCATTGCTCTCCCTGACTAGTACAAACTTCTTTCCACCCCTCCTCATCAGTCCCATACACTGATCCCGCCCAGGCTCTCTAAGGATTTCAACACCTGTTTTTAGTTTTCCTGCCTGATTCCTGCCATCAGGTAATTCCAACAAGCATGGCTCACTCAACATCACAGCGCGGCAGTTTTCAAGTGTTAGGGAGCCTAAGAACCACTAAGGGAGCTCATAAAAATACAGAATGCTGGGTCCCTCCCCCAGAGATTCGGACTTAGTAGGTTTGGCTGGGGCCCAAGAGTGTGCATTTCGCATGGGTGATTCTGAACTCTGCCTTGACCTCAGTTCCTGACTTCAATTCCAATGCCTTCAACATAATTCAGCAGCTTGCTCACATGGCCACACCCTGGATTCACCTGGAACTTCTCTGCCTCTGAGAACCTAAATTCCAATGTCCTTTTTCCTGATCCCCTCTCATCCCCAGTACACATGGGCCTCCAGTTCCAGCCCCTCAGGCAGTTTGTTTTCTTCCAGCCCTTCAGCTCCTCTTGCACCCATATTTGAACTTAGGCTCAATCCCTTGAACTACTTACCACCTGTCACTTTCCTGACCCTCTGACCCCCTGATCCCCTTGCACCCGCAGCCTTAGCCTACCAACCTTCAGACCTACCTGAACTAACGTGGCAGTCTCCTACCTCACGGACAGGGCTGAAGAAAGCTGCTGTACCACATGGCTCAGGGCTGCTATGGTTCAGGCCATCCCAAGCCCCTGACACCAATGCTTGGCAGTTCTATTTTGCTGAGACCACATCTCATCTGCAGTTGTTATTCCAAACCTCAAGCCCCAACGTCATTTCCTTTACTTTCAGCAAATATCCTTCTTAGAGAAAACAATTTCTGTGACTACCTACCCCTCTACAAATTTTGCAATTTTCCTCAGCCTAAGAGCAAATTCCAGTATCTCCTTGCCTTAAAAACTTCCCGGCCAGGCACAGTGGCTCACGCCTGTAATCCCAGCACTTTGGGAGGCCAAGGCAGGCGGATTGCCTGAGCTCAGGAGTTCGAAACCAGCCTGGGCAACAAGGTGAAACCCTGTCTCTACTAAAAATACAAAAAATTAGCTGGGTGTGGTGGTGGGCACCTGTAATCCCAGCTACTCGGGAAGCTGAGGCAGGAGAATCGCTTGAACCTGGGAGGTGGAGGTTGCAGTGAGCCGAGATTGTGCCACTGCACTCCAGCCTGGGTGACAGAGCGAGACTCTGTCTCAAAAAACAAAAAAGAAAAGAAAAAGAAAAAAAACAAGAAAAAAACTTCCCTTGACCTTGTACCATTTTCTAGACTCCGTTCTGCCTTTATCTCAACACAATCCAGTTTCCTGAAAGGCTGTCTCCAAAGGTGTGGTGGACGGCATTTCAGTTTTGAGTTCTTCATCTCTTGCTATAAATACACCGTTCACCCCGTGACTGTGCACCACTTCAATGGAGGCGAGGTATATTTTCCCACGCCACTGATGTTGCTGGTCTAAGGGAGATGAAAGGCACGTGGAGCCACCTGGATCCCACTCACAGCTTGGAAGTCAACCCAGCCCAGCAGAGCCCAAGCTAGATCAGCTGAAGCTCAGCCTGCCCACAGATGCATGAGCAAGATACATGCTTATGGTTGTAGGCTTCTCAGTTTTGAATTGGCTTCTTATGCAGCATTAGTGTAATAATAGTTAACAGTGACAGAGGGAAACAGAATATTAATGATGCTGGAAAGACATGATGGATGAGTGATTAACTATTTACAAAAGAGCAATTTATACTTGTGCCTCACGGAATCTACCAAAATAAATTCTACCTGAATTAAAGGGTTAAGGATATAAAATTAAACCACAGAGGCCGGGCGCGGTGGCTCACGCCTGTAATCCCAGCACTTTGGAAGGCCGAGGCGGGCGGATCACACGGTCAGGAGATCGAGACCATGGTGAAACC